ACTAGCACTTAAGAAAGGCAAGAAACAAAAGCAACTAGCACTTAAGAAAGGCAAGAAACAAAAGCAACTAGCACTTAAGAAAGGCAAGAAACAAAAGCAACCAGGACCTAAGAAAGAAAGAGGCAGGATAAAAGTGCAAAAATGATAGAAAAGATGAAACCTGAAAGGGATTTCTGTCATGGCGTAGGTAGATGGTCTCAGTACCTCAGTCCGCCGACCGACAGGTGTCCATACGAGCTGCTGGCGGCTGAACTGGACCGTGAATTGTTGATGTACGCCACCAAGGAGTTCGGTGAAGTCCTGATCATGGTCTGGAGGTCGATGCTGGCATCAGACAGCGGCGAGATGGACAGCGCCCTCTTCCTGCTGAGTCTGGGCGTCAGTCTGGGGCTGGAGAAGCGGGACACTGTGGACACAGAAGGTGGTGGACGCCATGTTTAGACGAGTCATAGCTTGGCACCATAAGGAGGTTCTAAACGGTTCTTCATGGTCAGGAATTCAGCCTGGCTCATGGGAAATCGGACCCTGGCTCTGTCCCTCTGTCCTTATGTCCTTTAGTTAGGGGTCCGAGGGCCAGGTTCTGACTTCTGTCCATCCAAACAGTCCTCTTATTATTATGGGATGGAGGCGTTGCCTCAGCAGCGAGAGGTTGATGCATTTATTGCATCATTCAGGCGCCCAGAAACAGCAGCAGGAGCAGCTCTAAGCTTACAGTGAGGGAAAGCCAACCTGCAGAGCGGGTGCAGAATAAGGGCAGGTCTCATGGAGACGCTGTAGCAAGGCAGTAACCTACATCTGGCTGCAATCCGTCCCACTGACACAAATTTACACGAGACGAGGAGGAGCGGGTTCAGCCAGTCGATAACGTGGTAAAAAAAGAACTGTAAACCTGCAGGAACGCGAGCGTCACAGTTTCTTCTGACGTTCCTTCGTTCGCTTCTGTTTTCTCTTTAAGGTTTAAACAAATCAAAGCTTGATAGCAAATCAGGAAGATTAGATTTAATCTGAGGTGAGTTCTCAGATGATCTATAAATAAAGTTGATGATGACAGAAGATTTAGACGATTTCAACTCCAACGTCCGAAAAGCGTTTGTGTCTGAAGGCCGGCAGAGCGGCACGGTGCTGACATCTGCCCAGATGTTCTGGCCCCATTAAGATCCAGCATGACGAATCAATCTGTCCCCCATAACCGCCCCTAATCAGCTCAGATAAACATCGGCCCGCTTCACATGTTAAATGAGGCCAATTTACCGGGGGAATCGATTCTGCGCTGCATGGAAATGTATTCAGAGCATGGGATCGATTTCAGCTCTGAGATGTAAATTCAGGCGAGCTTTTTAAACGGAAATCCTGATTCCCTGCAGAGCGTGAGGTCCGCCGCAGTTTATCAGCCAGTTTCCAGGGAGCTCCAGAAACGGCGACTTTCAGCCGACTTTGGGTCTTCAGTCTCGCTAACTAACTGCTTAGCATGCAGATTAACATATTTCTAGTGAAACACAGAACCAGACGACTTAGAAAGGTTTTTAGTTTCAGCGTCGGGCAGAGATAAACAGACTACAACAGACTAGACAAACAGACAAAACAGACCAGAAAATGGTGAACTAGAGTGGTTATTACATCTGGGAGGGAAGTAATCCCAACCTGAACCCAAACCGCTGGCTGTTTGGACAACTGGTACCATCCCAGAACCAATAGATGTCAGCCATGTTGGAACTCTGCCTCTATGAACACTGATCTTCTGTAGTGAGGAGACTGAACTCATCATTTCCACCTCAATGCTGATCTGAATGTGGTTCTGGTTCTCATTCTGGTTCTGACTCCGTTTCTGAATCTGGTTCTGACTCTGGTTCTTACTCTAGTTCTTACTCTAGTTCTGACTTTAGTTCTGACTCTAGTTCTGATTCTGGCTCTGACTCTGGTTCTGACTTTAGTTCTGATTCTGGTTCTGATTCTGAATCTAGGTCTGATTCTGGTTCTGATTCTGGTTCTGACTCTAGTTCTGATTCTGGTTCTGACTGTGGTTCTGACTCTAGTTCTGATTCTG